GTACTGAAGCTACTCTATACCCACAGAAAAATTTCCCTCAAAAATGTCAATCTGGAATCAAATCAAAATTTAGACAGGATTTCCTGTTAGGTTATTTGGGACAGAGGATATTTCATTAATTTTTCTTACCTGAGTATAGTGTCCAATTACTGCACTGGATGTCTTTGGTCCTACATTGAAAATAAAATTTTCCTCCTCATCATACCACAGTTGGATTGCAGATGACCATGAATAGGGAGCACTCGACATGAAGAGGTTCTCACCACAGCTTACATCTAAGAGGGAACAGATCACTCATGAGGAAAGCAGTGAGGAACATAACAGGACTCCCACACATGCACTAACAAGGCAGAGTCCCTGGTCTCTAAACACAGTACCCAGCGCTGCTGCTGTTGGAAATTCATATGCCTCAAAACCTTCACAGCTACAAACTGAACACCAGCCAGATTTGATCAGTGCATGTGGTTTGGCCTCAGCATGCAGAGCTGTGAGTAGACAGGGAAGTCTTTTCTAATGTCTGCTCTCCTAGGACTCATTCACTTACATATTAAATTCTTCGCATATATAAAATATGCCTTGTATGTGCTCAGCTTTTTGTTGGAAACTTACTGACTCCTCTAATTTCTCTCCCCTTCTAACCCATACTCACTAGAAATTTTCATATATAATTACTATTAAAGATCATTAATTTGTATAATCTTTGAAAAGTGTCTTACAGTCAGCTTTTAAAAACTGCAGGCATGAAAAAACACCACCAGGAAAGTATTTTCAGTGTATGAGTATCTCCTTCATCAACTGATACAATACCTCACAGGCCAAAAACCCTCTCTGAGAAGGAGAAAAACATATTGCAGCACAGAAATATTCCAATATTTTTCAAGCTCTGCCAATAATATTTATTCTTGCATGTCAAATGCAACATCTGCATATTGCTTGAAGAGAGAATAAACTACTCTCGGATAGTTTACTATTATAGGAAAGTAAGAAGCTAAGATTTTTACAGTAGAGTGAGATTTAAAAGATCAATTCTTATAATATTCTACTGACTATGAACATCTATTACATAATTTTATTATAATTATTTTATAAAAAATATAAATAAAAATGAAGACATCTTCAAAACAGGTTAGTTATTTATTACTTTCAACTTGGCTTGACTTCCTGCCATTTTGATAATTCAATATATATTTTATTTATGCTATGTTGTCATTGTTTTTATGTTCTCTGATGTAAAGCTTATTGTTTCAGATTATTTTTCAGTTTAATAATATGGACATTGTAGGTGCTTGAAAATATAAATAAAAATGAAGACATCTTCAAAACAGGTTAGTTATTTATTACTTTCAACTTGGCTTGACTTCCTGCCATTTTGATAATTCAATATATATTTTATTTATGCTATGTTGTCATTGTTTTTATGTTCTCTGATGTAAAGCTTATTGTTTCAGATTATTTTTCAGTTTAATAATATGGACATTGTAGGTGCTTGAAATATAACTCTGTCATCAAAAGTTAAGGAAATTGTGATAAATATTAATATTTATTGCATTTGAAAAAACTCAGAAACAGTATGTTTTATAAATCCAAACTAAGTTCTCAAAACACAAACAGGCTGCATATTTTATAATACTGGATAATAAAAGTCAGAAATTCTAATTTTTTCAAATTTCCTATATGTGATTCTAATTACCAATCATTTCTCTCTAGATAAATGTTTTTCTAGCATTAGGGACGATTAATCTACTTTCCTCATGAGCTAGTTGAGAGGTACAAAGGTAAAATTGTGTGAAACAGCTTACAGAAAACAATGAGTACAAGGTGGTGATTCTGTGTTATCTCTACATTCAGAGATACTTAACTTGAAAAGGCTACATTAGAAGCAGGATTATTGGATTATTTCAAAATATTCTGGACAAAACATCTTACATAGAACACTTATTATTTCACTTGCCCCAAATTCTAAGGAATTTTTGTTAATACACATACTGAGCGCTCGGTACTCGGTTTCACTGTGCCGGTAACTGCACTGGTCTGCCCAGCCTTGGGCCTTCTCTGCGGCTTCACTGCTCCATTCCTAAGAGAGTGGGGGTGGAGTGGAAAAGAGCACTCAATGGTTCAAAAATCACAAACATAAACATGTACAGGTTCATAGGTTTGTTTACATCACGATAATCGTTTTGCAAAGTAAATTTAAATTTTCCACGGTTTCTCTTATTCAAAAACCCCAAATTGTATATAATTTAAACAGTAAAATAAAAAATAAGTAATAGGAAACATACATAGAAGATAGGAAACTGGAGATGTGAAGGGAAAGACTAGAGGGAGGGGGTGGGGGTGAGTAAAAAGGATTGAGATTCAAAGTCCAATGCTCACCATGAATGTGTTCATTACATAGCACAAACATGTATCAACACAAAAATAAGTAAATCAAATAAACTTTCTGTAGTGGAACTTTCCAATTTTTAAAGTCAAAAGTATAGAAATATATTCTTCTTGTGTCCCTTTGTACACCAAATAAATATAGATAGCATGTCTACCCTAAGTAACCGAAAAACCAAAGGTCATTATGGCTCAATCATTATAATGGCACATCAGGCATACCTAAGGATTTGTAGCAATTGTCCTACTCTAAACATTACTATTACCAACTCACACCCTCATCCAGTAAATCTGGGAGATGTGTGGCCATTGGAGCTGGAACCAGAAAAATGCACTGCTATTTACAGAAAATAGCACTGACCTACATGGAGAGGCTTTCTGGTCTTAGATCAGGAGATGTAGCACAATGAGCAGAAAAAACCAAAAAAACTGGGTACCCTTAGGATATCCTACTTCTATCAGTATAATGTATACAGTCCCATAAAGAGTTATGTAAGTGGTATCAAGATATTTATCCCTGACCATAGAACAAATGAAATGCCCAAATCAATGCAGAAATTCTTAGGCAAAGTTAAGTGATGTCAGTAGCCAGCTGCCTGCTCTTAAACACCTCAAGGTGACTTAAGCTGCCTTCCCTACATTCTGACCACTTACCATCTTTAGCATGTCACTGGCACTTGGAGAGACTGCTCTCCTTAGCTCATTGTGTTTATTGACAATCTCCTCTTGGACTTCTGGTAGGGCAGTTGACAAAGCAGCAAATGCTTCATTCTAGGGAGAAATAAAATCAGATTTATTTTTAGTATATTTGCAAATTACATAGAAGGCTTAAGAAGCCTTTGACCATACAAGACAACAAAGATGACATTTTTTTTAAGTGTTCAGTTCAAGTCAACATTAGCTGTTGAGCATTGCCAGTGATTCCAAGGCAAAGGCGTGACTTTTAAATGGAAAAGAAGTTGACTAAAGCTTTGAGAATGGGGATGTAATCCATGACAGGACACACCGCAGCTCTTCTGAGGGCACGCATGATCATTTTGGTTTTAAGAGACATCTTTCTGTGATTTTTCTAGATATCTGAGTAATAACATCTTATGACAAAAAAGGTAGATGAGAGGAATCATAAAGACAGTCACACTCAGGATGCAACAAAGGAGTATTGGGATGCAGGCACATAATTTACTGCAGACTTGAGTGAGATCATTCTCTTGATAAGGTGCCTGATAGCTACAGAAGGAATGCTCAGCCCAAGTGCACATGTATTATGCATGTTCTAGGAAAAAAGTGTTATATATTATATACATAGTCCTAGGGAATCATTCAAAGAATGGTTATACCATTTAAAAAAAAAAATCCCAAGTGCAATTTGAAGGAGAAAAGTAATTCAATTACTGAACTATTCCTGGTTTTATCTTTTTCTTAAGAGAAAGATAACTAAAGAGGTTTTAATTCAGAGGGTAATATTTGAGCTTGTACTTTTGTGCATGTGTAGGTCTGGAGAGTGGAATGGGGTTACGTGAATTGTTGGTAAAAGAGATAAGAACAATGTGCTGTTTTAAATTTACATTAAAATGTCTTGTTTTATAGGGAGAAGGACAAACTTAAAGTATACACTGACAAGAGCCTTGCAGAATTTATCTTAGGCCTTGGATAATTTATCCACACTTCCCACAATACTGAATTCTCCCAAGACTTCAAAGGCTGTATTCATACATCTGACATATTGTGTTGCCATTATCTAGTGGTGTTCATTTCTTCTTCCTGTTCTTATGTTCCGAAGGACAAGGACCACTGGTGAAAATCTGTTACCAAGAGACCCAGCAAAGTAACCCACTGCTAATTTAGAAAGGATGTAGATATTCAGTGATGGTAGTGACCAACTTCTGTATTTTAGCAAAGCCATAAAATAACATATATTGATATTTCCTGTTGACTTCCCAAACACACTTCAAATAGATTTTTTTTTTCAAAACACAGACAAATTGGTTTCTGAGAGAGAAGTGATTATTCCATGCATCTTATATGTTGGTTTGCAGATCAAACTTTCCCTGAAGAAGTATATTTGGTTCATTTCTAAATATCAACAAAAGTTTTATTACATGTCATGAGATATTAAAATATTCATAATAAAATGGATGAATACAGTATTTTAATGAATTTGTACTGGATAGATAACATGACAAATCATCACTATTCTACATCTCAAAACTGAAGGGATACTAAGCAACATCGAATGAGGGATTATTTTGAGATGTTTAAGGTCAACAAAGGCCAAATATGATTATAGATCTCTCTGATATTCAGCTTTTAATAAATTTATCAATAAAACAAGGAGAATGACCAGAGAAATAAGAGATGAAAAGAGAGAGCCCTAATATGTAATCCATAAGAAATTATTGAGAAGAAAAATTATCCAGATGAAACCCTAGTTGAGGAATAAATGGTCTCCACATTGACAATACGATTATGGTAACACAGTGACTATTTCTCTGTATGATAAACGAAGTTCTAAACAAGTGTTGGAGTTCTCCAGTGTAAGAAAGCCTGGCTAGAGTGTGTGCAAAACTGAATCAGGGTGTGAGAACCATGAGTGATGCTCTGACATTCAGCAGCCCTCTGGAAAGATGATGATCACCTTCCTTGGGCATGTCTCCCTCTTGTTAAAGAGGATGATTTACTCTGCTTTTGTTTCCCTACTGGAGGAGAACTGCATATTAGAAACAAATGGAGTACAGAGAAAAAAATCTATGTAGTAATTTTAGTAAATTTTAAGATTAAAAACATATAACTGTTCTCACACAATATCTGTAAAAATAAGATACAGATGTGTGTAAAGAAGTCATACTAATTTGATATTGTATATGCATATTGGTAATTTTCTGTGAGGACCATGTTTAAGGAGATTAAGTAAAACTAATCAAAACAGCTCTTGAGGCAGTAGGAGTGTTATTAGCTTTAAATCCATACACTTATTCTAACTAATTAAAATACTTCAAATATCACACGTGAATTAAATTTTCATTTTGCCACTTTAAAATGACAAAAATATGAAATCAATAATATATATTGTTTAACAAATCTATTTTATACTGTTTCATTATCACCAATATTCAAATTATTATAAGATATTTTACTTCCTTTTATTTAGACTATCTTTGAAACTTTTTGTGTATTTTAAATAGATGTCCACCTTGATTTAGACAACCGTACATCCAGTGGGCAATAGTCTCACATGGCAAGGGCCTACCATGCTGGTCAATGCAGCTGTGGATTTGTGTCAGAGCCACCATGAATCCTTTGTGATGCCCCAGACCCTTCAGCTTTTTTCACTTTTGAAGACTGATCTAGCATCTTGCTCTCTCTCATGTTTCCTGAGTTATTTGAAAAGATTTTCAACCTTAACCTTACCTGATCCCCTTTTACAGGGAAAGATGGAAGCAGAAGAGCAGTAACCAGGAACAGGATCACTGGGAATAACGCCATTGCTGGGAAAACAAAACAGGGACCACAGACCTGCATTAAAATGATTAGTACATAGAGGTGGGGTGTAAGGAGCTCCATTATCCAAATTCGTTAGCAATGTGACAAGAGAAGAATGGCCAAAGGAACAGCAGAGTGCTGGGGGGTTAGCTGCAAAAGGATGCCTCCATAGGGGCAATAAAAACAAACGGAGGTACTTAAGAGAAATTCTGAAGTGCAAATACTGCTGATAGGACCTATTGCCTTTTCTTCTCAGTGCCACACTCTGATTGTGAGCTTTGGGTACTAGGATGAGCTATGCTGTGTTTAAGAAAGCATCAGAGGGTGTTTCACTGCAAAATGACAGAGATTACTCTGGATTGTACAGCATGCTGGGAATGGACAAATTTTGATTTTCCTGGAGAAGAGTCCTAGAAACAGGACCTCATCCCCTCCTCTCATGAAGCTAATGGTCAGACAAAAAGCCAGACAAAGAATTAAAGAGACCAAGAAGAAATCCAATAGAAATAGTTTATCTTCGTGTAGGAAGACACTCTTTTTCCGTAATTTTAATTATGAGTTAACACTGCAATCACAGTGACTCACAAGGAAGAAAAAAAAAATTGGGGGGGTACCAGGGATTGAACTCGGGACCTTGTGCTTGTGGGGCAGGTGTGGTACCATGCTAAATCCCCTGCCCAGGAAGAAAATATTATAAAATAGATTAACCTTTGGAATTGTTTCTGACTTTACTAAACAAATTATTTCTTTTTTTTTTCTTTTCTTTCTTTCTTTCTTTTTCTTTTTTTTTTTTTTTT